AAAAAAAAAAAAAAAAAGAGTAAAAAAAAAGAATATATTTACTGTGCTTAGAACTGCTTTCAAAAATAAGTAATGATCTTTAAAGGTTTTGAGGCACACCTAAGATCCTCTCATGACACACCAGTTGAAAATCACTGTATTAGGCTTGGTACCTATAGCTCAGCGGCTAAGGTGCCAGCCACATACACCAGAGCTGGTAGGTTTGAATCCAGCCCCGCCCTGCCAAACAACGACAACTTCAACTAAAAAATAGCCATGCGTTGTGGCAGGCGCCTGTAGTCCCAGCTACTTGGGAGGCTGAGGCAAGAGAATTGCTTAAGCCCAGGACTTGGAGGTTGCTGTGAGCTGTGATGCCATGGCACCTACTCAGGGTGACAACTTGATGCTCTGTCTCAAAAAAGAAAATCACAGTATTAGATTAAGCACAGTAACTGCCATGTGAGTTGTATTTAACTCATGCTAGTTTGGGCCGATGATCTCATGAAGCATTTATAACTCAGCAAATCTCTTAACTCAGTAAAACACTGTGTCTCCAAAGGAAAAAAAATGTTTCTTCTAATGTGATAGTGTACAAGAGATGTAACTAGCATATGTTAAATATAGAAATATAGCTCACATAGCAGTTGATGTGTTAACTTGACAGACTGAGAGCTAATCAGTTTTGGAAAATTTTAAGAACAATTAATTCACTAGTATGTTTTTAGGACTGCCAGGAGTATAAATAGTGAGGGTTCTGGTGACCATGTGGCCCCGAGACTAGAATTTGCATTTCACTAGCATTTCTTTTCTCTCTCCTCTTCCTTTTTCCATAGGAAATTTCTAAAACATCATTTGCGAGGAAAGAACTGTGAACTCCTGCTGGTGGTACCAGAAACAGTGGAGGCCCATCAGAGTTGGAGGACTGATGTGTAACATGGTTCTGCCCAACCTTGCCCTTGCCTCAGCCCCTTCAGTCCTCTGTGATGTGCTGTGGCCTCTACCGTGGGTCTGTCCTTGCCATTTCCCCAAACATCTCATCGGGTTTTTCCTCTTCAGATTTGACAGTGCAATAGGACAGATACATGGACTGTCACATGAACTACCCAGTGTTTTCTTCCTGGGAAAGGAAGGAGGAGCTCTGTATACTCTAGGTCAATGATCACAAAGCCCTGTTTTATTTGAGAGAGAGAAAAAGCAAGGCGGAGGAGTCCTAGCTTGTCTGATTCTGCTGTAACGTCACTGCTGCTCCAGACTCACCTGGAGATGCTGCCTCCATTTTCATTCCTGTCACATCAGGAGTCTTAAGACATATAGTACACACAAACCCCATGTGGCTGGTTTGAAGGACCCAGAGTAAAAAGGGTCTCTCAGGAAGCCGTCTCCAAAACTAGTAACGGCACATGCCATCTCCTTTTACCCCAGTTTTAAGGGTGGTTTATGGCCAGCCTGGGAGTTTTAATGAAAAGTTCTTTCATATTCGAAGCCATATGGTTGAATCCTACAACGTTCTAGTGTGACAAGTGAAATGGACATCTAAAAGGATGTGGGCTAAAGCCAAATTGAGACAGGCCTGGGGCAGTTCCTTCACTCTAGTTTTGTCTCTGCCATTTCACTATGTTGATTTTGGGAGGTTCTGGGCAAAAGAAGTAGTTGTTCCAGTTGACCCAAGTCCACCTTTGACACGAAACTCTACTAGTTTGAGGTAGAGTTGGGTGAGGAAAGTATTGTGAAGATAAGCGCAGAGTTTAAGAGCAGTCCAGTTCACTATAGTGACAAGCAGAGCCCTCAAATTGGGTGGTTACATGCATTGTTATAGGAACTAGGTTTGTCATCTTCGTGTCGTTTCCTTTACAAATCTGTTGGGGATTGACCTGCCCCTACCTCTTGAAATAGTTGTAGGCCACTTTCTCCTGTAACTTCGGAAAATGGGAGAAAAGGAGGGAAAGTATCATACCACACATGTGTCACCAATGTGGTTGTGTTTGCCTCAACAGGTGGGCAGGCAGGGAAGACCCACTAGCCCTTAGAGGTCAGTGGTCTTGGCAGGTCTGAGAGCTGCCCCGTTGGCTAGACATATCTCCAGCAGCAAAGCCAGCCCGGGGCTTGCATGTCAGTCCTGAGCAAGCTTAACGGGGTGAAGCTGAGGCTTTCTCCCCACTGTGACTGGAGTGCATGTTTACACCAGCACTTTCTGCACATGTATCTTCAATCCAACAAGGCCATTTTTTATGCTGAGTAACAGAAGCCACCAAGCGGCTACTGCATTATTCCCTCAGCAACTGGCCGCAGTCTCTTCTGCACCATTTTCTACACCAGACCTGCTTGGCACCACAGGGAGCTCTTTAACCCTGCAAAGTGACATTCCAACCACCACCAGCCAAAAGTTACAGCCAACCTTGCTGATTGGTACAGCAGGACCTTGGGTCCATTGGCACTGTCTGGTAGCAAGCCATTTCCTGGGAAGGGAAGGAAACTCCTCTCCACATACCTGCTTGGGCCTGTGCAAATGGTACTTCAAAAGGAGTTCCTGTGCACTTGGAGTCCATGAGCCAATGGGATATGCAAAGACGCTTAAACATTTCAGGGCTGGTTTCTCTGTTCATATCCAATTCCGGTGCTTAGGAGCAGGGACCCATGCTGATGCCCAAGGGCAGAAAGCCTCACTTTCTTTAGGAAGGGAGCACACCTGACCCTGATGCCCAATAAGGGGCAACCCTAGGCTTTTTGTTTTTCTTGCTTTTATTCCCTTTTTTTGTTGGCCTTGTGCTGGGTTTGTTTACAAAAGATGTATTTTGTTTAACCAGAATTAAAAATGGAAAACTCCGTATATAAATCTTGTCTGCCTGCCTGAACTTTGGTTACATAAAAAAGAAAAACACCTTGATGCGATGCTGCTTTTAAAGAAATTTCACCAGCTGGGCGCAATGCCTCATCCCTGTAATCAATCCTAGCACTCTGGGAGGCTGAGGCCAGTGGATTGCCTGAGCTCAGGGACAAGAGACTCTGTCTCTAAAAATAGCCTGGTGGCTCGGCGCCTATAGCTCAACCGGCTAAGGCACCAGCCACGTACACCTAAGGTGGCGGGTTCGAATCCCCAGCCCGGACCCGCCAAACAACAATGACGGCTGCAACCAAAAAATAGCCAGGCGTTGTGGCGGGCGCCTGTGGTCCCAGCTACTTGGGAGGCGGAGGCAGGAGACTCGCTTGAGCCCAGGAGTTGGAGGTTGCTGTGAGCTGTAATGCCACGGTACTCTGCCCAGGGGGACAGCTTGAGGCTCTGTCTCAAAAAAAAATAAAAATAAAAATAAAAATAGCCTGGTGTTTAGGCGGTGCCTGTGGCTCAAACAGGTATAGGGCACTGGCTCCATATAACAGAGGTGGCGGGTTCAAACCCGGCCCCAGCCAAAAGCTGCAAAAAAAAAAGCCTGGTGCAGCAGGGATCTGTAGTCTCAGCTACTTAGGAGGCTGAAGCAAGAGAATTGCTTGAGCCCAAGTTTGAGGTTGCTGTGAACCATGGCATTCAACCAAGGGCAACAAAGTGACTGTCTCAAAAAAGAAAAAAAAAAATCACCATCCTGTCATCTTTTAGATAGCGCTGTATTATGTTTTTATTTTTCCCTTTCATCTTAATTTACAAAACTAGCCTTACCATTTTGAACCCACACCTAAGTATAAGTTTTTACCACACTGGCGACTGGTATTTTTTTCCTAGTTAACTGAAGGATCATGCCTCTGAACAGAGGGCCTGAGCATACAGAGTACGTAGCCATGTTCTGTCAGACTGCCTTAATTTGAATCCAGGCCCAGCACTTACTGTGTGACATTGTGCAATTTTCTGTGGGTGTCTCCTCTATAAGGCTTAGTGCCATTATTAGCACAATGCTCAGTAAAAATGTGTGTTAAATGGAAAAACTGAGCCAGGCTACAATAGTAAGACCATTTTTACAAAAGAGAAAATTAGCTGGGCATAGTGGTACATATCTATAGTCCCAGCTACTTGGAAGCTGAGGAAGGAGGATCACTTGAGCCCAGGAGTTTGCAGTTACAGTGAGCAATAATTGTAGCAATGTGCTCCTGTAAGACCCCCACCCCACCCCAAATCGCAGAGTTCACAAAGATGTGTCAGTGGCTCACCTCAGCAATCCCTTAAGAAAAAAAGCCTAAGCCTCAGTCATAAAACAATTTTCTAATTTGCAACTCTTTCCCTAGCCCCTAGACTAAAAGTTAGTCAACACTGTTACTTCCTACAAATGCTTTGTAACCACAGAATCCCCTTTGTTCCAGCTGATGGATGTGAAAGTGATTGCCTGAATTCAAGGCAAAGACTTCTACTGAGAGGTAGTCAGAGGCGGAAAACAGCCTGAGCAAGAGTTAGACCCTGTCTCTAAAAACAGCTGGGCATTGTAGCACAGAGCAGGAGCTGCAATCTCAGCTACTAGGGAGCTGAAGCAAGAAGATCATGTGAGCCCAGGAGTTTGAGATTGCGGATGCCAGGGCACTCTACCAAGGGTGACAAAATAAGACTTTCTTTTTTTTTTTGAGACGGAGCCTCAAGCTATCCCCCTGGCGGGAGTGCCATGGCATCACGCTCATAGCAACCTCCAACTCCTGGGCTCAAGCGAGTCTCCTGCCTCAGCCTCCCAAGTAGCTGGGACTACAGGCGC